TACTTACTTACTTACTTACTTACTTACTTACTTACTTACTTACTTACTTACTTACTTACTTACTTACTTACTTACTTACTTACTTACTTACTTACTTACTTACTTACTTACTTACTTACTTACTTACTTACTTACTTACTTACTTACTTACTTACTTACTTACTTACTTACTTACTTACTTACTTACTTACTTACTTACTTACTTACTTACTTACTTACTTACTTACTTACTTACTTACTTACTTACTTACTTACTTACTTACTTACTTACTTACTTACTTACTTACTTACTTACTTACTTACTTACTTACTTACTTACTTACTTACTTACTTACTTACTTACTTACTTACTTACTTACTTACTTACTTACTTACTTACTTACTTACTTACTTACTTACTTACTTACTTACTTACTTACTTACTTACTTACTTACTTACTTACTTACTTACTTACTTACTTACTTACTTACTTACTTACTTACTTACTTACTTACTTACTTACTTACTTACTTACTTACTTACTTACTTACTTACTTACTTACTTACTTACTTACTTACTTACTTACTTACTTACTTACTTACTTACTTACTTACTTACTTACTTACTTACTTACTTACTTACTTACTTACTTACTTACTTACTTACTTACTTACTTACTTACTTACTTACTTACTTACTTACTTACTTACTTACTTACTTACTTACTTACTTACTTACTTACTTACTTACTTACTTACTTACTTACTTACTTACTTACTTACTTACTTACTTACTTACTTACTTACTTACTTACTTACTTACTTACTTACTTACTTACTTACTTACTTACTTACTTACTTACTTACTTACTTACTTACTTACTTACTTACTTACTTACTTACTTACTTACTTACTTACTTACTTACTTACTTACTTACTTACTTACTTACTTACTTACTTACTTACTTACTTACTTACTTACTTACTTACTTACTTACTTACTTACTTACTTACTTACTTACTTACTTACTTACTTACTTACTTACTTACTTACTTACTTACTTACTTACTTACTTACTTACTTACTTACTTACTTACTTACTTACTTACTTACTTACTTACTTACTTACTTACTTACTTACTTACTTACTTACTTACTTACTTACTTACTTACTTACTTACTTACTTACTTACTTACTTACTTACTTACTTACTTACTTACTTACTTACTTACTTACTTACTTACTTACTTACTTACTTACTTACTTACTTACTTACTTACTTACTTACTTACTTACTTACTTACTTACTTACTTACTTACTTACTTACTTACTTACTTACTTACTTACTTACTTACTTACTTACTTACGCTTGTTACTCCCAATGGAGCATGGGCCGCCGACCAGCATTCTCCAACCCATACAAAACAATAAATGATATTATTAGGTTTTTGGTATTTTCATCAATACATTTAATCAATTAATTTGTCTCATATAGAAATATGTATTTGATTGCTTTATAATTAAACTATTTCAATTGAATTTGTAACGGTTTGAATTATCCGGTTATTAATAGTTTGATAGGTCTTATTTATAAAATTTACATCCTGTACAGATTGCCTTAATATAGTCATTATGATACAAGTTAATATGGAACAGATAGAATGTGGTTAATAGTGGAATCTAGTGATAAGTCTTGATATTTGAACGCTATATTCCTTTCCTAAGTTATTCTGTAACCCCCAAACTAGAACTACACAGAAACCTGAACATGAGAGAAAAGGAGCAAAATATGCGAGAACCACTTTACAGAACTACTTTACAGAAAATATAGGGTTTTTATAGTATTTTAAATGTCCTTGAGTTGCTCGAAGATTCTCGAATGCTACTAAACATGGTAGTAGTATAGCAATCAGCTAATCAGAAACTCTATATGTGACGTTTCAGGCTAAAACTACAAGTGAACGCTGATTGGACGAAATATTTTCTAGTGTTTCCTGATCCTTGCTTGTCATTTGCGAGAAATTTTCTGGATCACCACAACATCTAGAATGAGCATTTCATCCTGTCTGAAAGCAGTCATCTGGATATACTTACATTCCAGAGTTGATATTCATTCTGATATTCAAGTATCAACGTTAACAAAATTAGGATGCACATTTGTTACATAAGTGAGTAGTTCTCTGAGCGGATTGTCTGAGTAGATAGTGCTTTGGAGTTTGAATAGAAAGTTATTGAGTTCGGACCTTAGAGTGAATGTTAACTCACAGATAGAGATACATTTGACCTATGAATCTCAAACTCATTTTCCAACCATATTTCATCTATTTAAAGTAGATAAGTAGTAAACGGTTTAGTTAAAAAAGCTTTGTGAGGACTAGTTGATTTCAATAGCTAAACATTTATAGCATAATTATCAACTTGGGTGTTGTGGAGATTGTCAAGTTTTTGATTGAGATCATGAACCGATTGATGCAGGTAAGTTAAGAGTTAGCGCGCGAGACTGAAGGCCCTGGGTTCGAATCCCCCAAACGGGATCGTGGATGCACACTGCTGAGGCGTCCCACAATAGGTCGAGACGGCCATCCAGTGCTTTCAGGTTTTCAATGGTGGTCTAACATCAATCGGTTCATGATCTCAATCAAAAATTTATAGCATAACTTAAATGTTCTAAATTCAATTCATAGTGAAGATCCAGTTACACACTACTAAAAATTCACATATTATGATGAAATAAATGTTTGGCACTTTAACTAAGATCAATAATGTAACCAATACAACTTACATTATAAACTGTATTCATCAAAAAAAAAAACATTGTCATAAGTTTATGTTTTTGCTTTTTTTTTGTTAACAAAATATTTCTTCACATTTTTCTTTTCTTTTTCATTGTTGCTAAGAGAAATTCCGTAAACAGATATCTACAAAGAAAAAACACATTTTGAATGATTTTTTTTTGTGTGAAATAAACTTTAATTAACAATCAAACACTTTAATGATTCATTTAGTATTGTTGTTTACTTGAATCTTACCATGGATGTTTAGAACTGTAATTGACCAGTATCTTATTGACATATATGCATATTGTGCGTATTGTCCCGATATTGTCTTAATTCGCAGGTATTATAAGGAAAGATGGATAGTGGCTGAGATTGAAATGAAGGACGTGTGTTTCGTTCTATTCGGAACACGTCAGCTGGATGTACCTGCATCTCAGAGTTGATATTCTCTTTGAGACTCGAACCCAGTACCGTTATCTACTTAGCTACTGAGTCCTGATAGCCACTTGCTTGTGTAATGGGATGAAGTTCAAATACACTTAGTATTGTTTATATGAATCTTCTCATTGATGTTTAAGACTGCAATTGTCTATTAGGACTCAGTAGCTAAGTGGATAACGCGATGATGTTTAAAGCGAATGGTACTGGGTTCGAGTCCGGGAGTGAATATCAACAAGTACATTCAGCTGATGAGTCCAAAACAGGACGAAAAGCACACCTTCCATTCCACTACTAACCACTATTCATCTTTGCTTATAATATTTCAATGATTATTATTTACCTATGAGTTCATGATTGTTCTTTTTTTTTTTGTTTTGTTTACTAAAACAACTCCTACATAATTTACAGTTCATCATTTTCACTAATATTATACCCATATATGTACATTATTAATCTTTTAGAATTAAAGCATAACAATTACATGATCGATTTGGTTCATTATTATTGATGAAATGATTAGTTTAGTTGAAACAATCATATAGAGGTACATAAAAAGGTACAAGTTTGAACTTGTCACATTTCTATAAAGATTGTCACTTGAATTATTCAATAGAGAAAACAAAAATTAAGAAAACTTTCTTTACATTCTATTGTATGGTTCATTGAAACAAATTCTTTTACCATGTTTTAATCAATTCATTAATGAAAATAAAAGTTATAATAAGGTTTGAATTTTCTTATCCTGGTTAGCGTTATTTATTTTTAGTGGGTTAGTTTCTAAGGGATAAGGTCGCTAATCCTATGCCAAACCCTTTTACTTTATCCGGACTTGGGACCGGAAGTAGCCCCAGAGAGGCTCAAGTCAAAGTATGTAATAAGGTAACAAATGTAATTAAGTTCTAAATAGATAAGATATTCTAAGTAAAGTTGAATAATAGGCTAGAAGTGGAATCTAGGATTCAGGTTTCATCCTATTTAGGACTGTTCAGTTTATTATGTCTACATTTCAGAATTGATGTTTACTTTGGGACTCAAATCTAGTATATTAATAAGCGAAATTGAGATGGTGGATAAGATTTATAGCTCAGGTGGATGATTTTGATGGAGTTTTGTTCTTTAAGCTGGATGGTTTGGTCATGGAGCTTTCATCGTTCTTCTGAACGACATCAACAGCACAAACTTCAGATAGAAATCAAACGTTCGAATTTCTTCATATGAGGTTCACAGCTTGTCTTGTAGACCCCGATGTTGATTACTTCTCGTTGACCTTAAAGTTGTCATTGTTTACTTCTTTATTTTGGTTGTATCTCTCATATCTATTTGAAGTTTGTGCTGATGATGTCATTAAGAAGAATGATGAAAGCTCCAAGACCAAACCATCCAGCTCAGAGAACAAAACTTCATCAAAATAAAGGAAATCGTCTAGTAAATTTATTATAATTATAAAAGCGAATTAATCAATCTTTAAGTTCCAATGAAATGATTTTCAACAAAGTAAGATCAATGATTAATTGATTCAAAAGAATCCGATGTTGATTCATGGATGTTGGTTATTTATGAAATAGTACGAGTCATTTAGAACATTCTTCATGCATAGAAGAACACGACATAGAAGCAAATAATAATGTCTTTAATCAAATCTTTATCTAGCTTGATTCTATTATACATGTAAAAACCGGGTCGGGGCCTTCGAAACGATTTGCCACTTAATACAATGTAAATTACCACCAATACATTGAATATTTATTAGTGTTAATTTTGTTTTAAAGCAAAGTTCTATGTTTTTTTCTTATCCTAGTGAAACCTACAATTGAATCTATTCCTAATCAAGTGTTAGAATATGGTCAATCATTAACAACTAACTGTATAGCGACTGGTATACCAACACCAACTATCATGTGGATAAGAGATGGGAAATCAATTAATCTAGCTGATAAAGGTTTAACAGTTGAAACATTTGAGTAAGTTGTAGATTTAAATTTTGTATTTCACTTGATAAAACTGTTTCATAATATCCGTTATTTTATTATTTATTTATTTTAACACATAGATATTGGTACAAGGAGGCATCAAATACATATGCGCCACACAGATCTCATTTGATATGTGTCAGGGCTGTGATACTGCCCGGGTGCCCAAACCGAAGCTGATGGTTTTCTTAGGGGGCCACACTCCGAGCCTTCGACTTAAACATTTGATCCACAAGGCAGTGGAGCATTGTAAGGAGATGCAGTCCGATGGTAGGCGGTGACCAACGATTGGTTCATACGCCATTTGTTCCTTCAGGATACTGGAGCCAGCCCATGTGCACCATTGGTTTGGGATCCGGTTAGAGCCGGTGCCGGACATTCGCTTTTCGTCCTCTCATTTTCGTAAATAACAGTAATGACACGAGAAGGCAGTGAGTAGGTCTTCCCTGTCAGAGGCTATGTACGCGTGGCCATGTGAGAGCATTTGGAGAGGGAGAGTGGACTCTCCCCACTCTCGGCCGTACCAGGGCATTTAGGGGCAATAATATCCGTAATTAGAATAAAGTTAATGACTAGCCCTGAAAAAATTATTGAAGCGATTAGAAAAAGTAGTTAAGTGTTATATAAAGCATTTTATGTATCTTACTTACTTGCTTACTTAGTCCTGTTACTCCTTGTGGAGGAGCATAGGTTACCCATCAGCATTCTCCATCCAACCCTGTCACAGGCAATCCTATCCAGTTCTTTCCGGTTGTTATCCATTCTTTTCATATCTGCTTCCAATTCTCGATACAATGTGTTCTTCGGACTTCCTCTTTTCCATTCCCCTTCATAATTCAAAGTTATCACTTGCCTTGTGATGCAGTTTGATGATTTCCGTAATATATGTCCTATTCAATTATAACGTCTTCATCTAACTTCCTCTTCAACTGGAAGTTAGTTTGTTGTCTGTCACAGTAGGCTGTTGCTAATGGTATCCCTCCAACGGACATTGAGTATCTTGTGTGGTCAATTGTTTATAAATGCTTGTACCTTTTTCGATGATAGTTGTAGTAGTTCTCCAAGTTTCAGCTCCATACAATGGAACTAACTGTCTTAACGTTCGTATTGAAGATTGTGAATTTGATATTGGTTTCATATGTTCTTCATCTATAGGCATGTTGTCCTTACTTTACCACTTCTTGCCTTTACGTCTGCATCAAACTCTCCTTGTTCATTGATGATTCTCTCCAGGTACATGAAAATTTACTTCTCATATTTAATGTATCAGTATAAGCGGATTAGTTAGCACTTGCATCAATGAAATATTTCTGAAAAGTGTACCAAGTTAAAAATGATATTGATATCTTTCATGAATTTATAACCAGATTTTTCCAGAAATTTGTCTCTTCATACATGACTAACAGGTTGTTTTATCGAATTTGATCTTGGTTTTTCATTACTGACCTTTATCCTATCATTGTCTGCATGTTTATCTTGATTATCTTCCATTAAGAACTTATACTTGTTTATAGTTTCTTTAATTTGTTGACAAAAGTTAGATTGATTGAACTGAGTGTTAAGATGTTAAAAAATTCATTAGTCTTCTTTACATTCCCTCTACCCTGTATTACAATATTTTTCCAGTCAATAATTATCTACATGAATCTACACAGCTTCGTCGTACTGTGTTGATAATCAGTTGGTGACATACATAAATAAGGTAGCCATTTATGTTACTATGTGGCCTTTCTTCATTTTATATTGGAACATAGAAACATTTATTTAGAGAATTTTCAATGTATAAAACAAAGGTGATACAATCCTATTTTAAGCAAAGATGGATAGTGGCTAGCAGTAGCATTTAAGACATGTGTTTCGTCCTATTCGGGACTCGTCAGCTGGATGTATCTTCATTCCAGATTTGATATATGCCAATAAGAGACTGATCAATTGCAATCCTAAATAACAATGGGAGGATACAAGTAAAACAATATCAAATGAATTTAAACATGATACAAATTTATTTTATATGTAAATGATTACTAGATTCAGATCTCTTGGATCATGAAATGAAAAGCTAATTAAAAGGGAAATTTGCATAGATTGCCAAACTTATATCGACAAACATTCAATTGATTTTAGTAGTTGATATCATGAGTTAATTGAAGCTAGACAACCATAGAAAACCTGAAATCACTGGATGGTCATTTCGTCTCACTGTGTAACTCCTCAGCAGTGTTCAGCCACGATTCCACCTCTCAAGATTCGAACCCAAGACTTATTATTCTTCACCAGTATTTCCAAGAATTTTTAACATACAAATCAATAAAATGAATAGTTATGCTTACATAATTCAACTTTTAATCTAATCATCATTCAATACAACTTTATCATTGGTGATCATAATCTAAGCGGATAAATGATTGTTTATACTGTTTCTCTGCTTTTTGAAAGTTATCTTTAACACTAGGTTAACTGAAATATATCGATAGTATGTTTTTTTCTTTCTTTGAGAAACCTACTTATGACTTGTAAGTAAGTAGTATATATATATATGCATATATCTATCAATTGTATATTTCATACACGTAATTAGAACATTTGTCTCCACTGTTAACTGATTACTTATTGTATTATCATACTTCTCTCATCGATATCAACAATCAACTATGTATGTTTAAATTAAACTATAAAGTAACTTTGTTACCAATTATATATCTGTAATCTTTCACCCTTCCGTTTATCTATTTGTATTTAATAAGATACATTTCTTATAGAATATACTACTAATACTCAATTCTAACTTCTTCCCTTTTGCCTATATATCTTCATAGTATGCATACATAAGAGATTAGTTTGTTGTTATTGTTGTTTTCTCTTTAATTGTTCAACACTATTCCCTATATAAACCAATTAGAATTGAATAGAGAAGAATTTTCCCCTTCTCAAAATACAAACAACATTCTATTTTAATCTTTGTATATGTGTGTATGCGTGTGTGTGTGTGTTTGCGTATGTCTAATTGTATTAGTTTAAATATCAATCTATTAAGTAGTAGTATATATAGTTTAGTTTATATATTTATACAGTTGAATTGATAAATTATACCCTGGTAACTAACTTCAATTATTGTTTAAATCAAGTTTTATTTTGATCTCTTTTCAAAAACAAACAAACAAACAAACAAACAAACAAACCCAACGGTAACAACAAAAAATCAAATCATATTAGACGTTCATCAGGCTATGTGGAATCTATATTGGAAATAAACAATTTAATTCTAATTGATACCGGTGAATATTGGTGTTATGCTGAAAATGCATTAGGATTAGCTAAAGAGAAGTTTATTTTAAAAGGTAAGATTTAACAAATAAAAAAACTTTTATTTCATGAAATTATTATTATTATTTATAATTATGTTAATGTTTAATAGTTGAGATCATAAGTCAATTGAAACTAGATCACTATGAAAAACTTGAAAGCATTGGACGTCTGTTTCGTTCTACTGTTGGGACTCTTTAGGAGTGTGCATCCACTATCTTGCCTTTGCGGAACACAAAAAATAACTCCTTCTGATATTAATTATGTGATGAGACTATAATTTACGGACGACCATTTGAATGATGCTGGAATGATCTTGATAGTGTCCATCTAATAACTAAGACCAAATAAAGGTTATAAATTTGTATGTGGAATTAGAATTATGATTTACAGTTGATGGTTAAAGTTACGAATTAGATTTATGTTTTTCATCACGATCTGACATCAGTTATAATACCAAAACTCTATTTATCCAAATGGATGAGTGAATTTTGCGCCAAAATCTGAGACTTCTTATCTTATACGTGATTAGTTCGTTCACAAATTATAGTCTAGCCTAATTTCTGGTTAGCGTATTTTTAGTGAGTTAGTTTCCTACAGGATGAGGTCGCTAACCCCATGCCATAACCCTCCTCCTTTACCCGCGCTTGGAACCGGCAGTAACTCTGTAAAAGCTATAGACGGAGTTAGTCTCGCCTAATTATGTTATTGTAAATGATTTATAAAGTTTAGTGAATTTTATAGTTTACATCATGGATCGACTTTAGGCAACTATTAAAAACAGGAAGCGCTAAACATCTGTTTTATACCAATATGGGACTCTAGCGGTGTATATTCATAATTTTGTGAGATTCTGTGTTTTGTCTACAGTGAATTGTGTATAAGAACTGATGAGATGTATCGTTCTGGGACGAAACACTTTTTCAATATTTCCGGGTCTTAGTGGTTTAACTTACAAATTAATTATATTGTTTTTTAAAAAATTCAAACTATATTAAGATACAAAGTTATTTGAGTACATAGAACATTCGTTTCAACTAAATATATGATTAAACTAGAATAAATTTTGACTGTTAAATTTCTATAATCTTCACAAATCCCCATACAGATGACAATCACATGCACAATAGTGACTAGCTTCATGATATAACTCCTGGAGTTCTAAAGAAGAGTCATGATCAGTGGAGGTTAATCTATGTTGAGTGTGAGACAATTATTCATCTCAGGCAAGATCATGGATTAACTGTAGTTAGACATTAACACTGTTGGATACAGGCTCAGTGGTCTAGGGATTAGGAGTTCGCGCACGTGATCGAAGGTCGCGGGTTCGGTTCTAGTGTAAAGGAATTATGAATATGCGTTAGTAGATGCAGACTACCTGGTTAAGGTCCACGTGACTATCGTAACCAATGATTGCAGACTCTTAGTGACATGGCTCAGAATCGATCACAATGGTGTAGGTGTATACACTCTCTGTCTTCCCTTAAACTAAGAGATTAAAATAGCTTCATATCTTTCTTTCTAGGAACTAATTCTTTCTTCCTGTACTATATCCTTATACACAATCTTTCTTTTATATAATACCTCCATTTGATTAACTACTTCCATGAACTCGGTGTTCATCTTGTTGTGCTAATGAGGTATGGCAACTTGGACCGATGCATATATGTACCTGGTCCTATGTTGCAGCTGACAATATGTTCCACCTCCAGATTGTATCTTTTCAATTCTGCAGAAATTTAGATGACTCTTTAGATCTCCCACATTGTACGAACATACCATGTACATAAATTAATGGTTGCTCCGGTTGTCAGAAAGGGCATCAGCTTCATGACTTCTGAAGGAACTCGGCTTTTACCATGGGGCGTCATAATTATTCTAAATGAAAACCTTTTAACTCCCAGGGCACAATTTAAATGGTTTGAATTATTTTTTCTGCTTAGCGTTGTTTTTTAAGGAGTTAGTTTTTTACTGGATAGGGTCGTTTATCCCGTGCCCAACCCTCTTTCTTTACCCGAGCTTGGGACTGGCTCTAGGCGGAGTTAAAACTACTAATCAAATGGAATATAGGTAGTATAGACTGGGAGTAGTAGTGTCTTTATGATTAACTTATCTAAATCTTTAATCATATATTATATGTTCTGTCAAAGAATATCTCAATTGGACTGTAGCTGGAGGTGTGAACTTGTTCAGTTTTAACTTAGTGTTTTGATAATGTAGCCGTGAAGATTTAACACATAATCTGAAAGTACTGAAATCATTCCCTAGCTGGTTCATGGATAGCTTACTTACTTACTTACTTACTTACTTACGCCTGTTACTCCTAATGGAGTATAGGCCGCCGACCAGCATTCTTCATCCCACTCTGTCCTGCGCCTTCCTTTTTAGTTCGATCGAATTGGTGTTCATTCTTCTCATGCCTGTCTCCATTTCTCGGTGTAATGTCTTCTTTGGTCTTCCTTTCTTACTTTGGCCTTGAGGATTCCATATGATGGCTTACCTTGTGACGCAGTTCGGTGCTTTCCTCAATTTGTGTCATATCCACTTCCAGCGCTTCTTTCTGATTTCTTCATCCGCTGGAAAGTGGTTTGTTCTCTCCCATAGTAGGTTGTTGCTAATAGTGTTTGGACAACGGATTCGAAGTATTTTGCGTAGACAACTGTTCATAAACACTTGTATCTTCTGGATGATGATTTTCGTAGTTGTTCAAATTTCCTCCCTATACAGTAGAACTGTTTTGACATTTGTATTGAAAATCCTGACCTTGGTATTGGTTGCCAATTATTTTAAGTTCCAAATGTTTTTCAGTTGTAGATATTCTGCTCTTGTTTTACCTCATGGATAGCTAAGGAATCTAAAATATAACACTAAATAATTTCTGAAACAGAGATCGACTCGTGAAAATCACATCAATCTTTCAAGAAATAAAAACTTACTGACTTGTAAAAACCAAAAAAAAAAAAAAAAATAAAAAATAAGAGAACAAACATAAAACAACAGCTATGTGGATAACACAATGGCATTTGAAGTAAACAGCACTAAAATTAAGTCCTAAATTGAACATCATCTCTAAGATTCACATTTATCCAACTGATAAAATCCCCAAAATAGAATGAAACTCATATCCTGAATTCCACTATTAGTCACTATCCATTTTTGTATAAAACATTTTCATGATTAATTTATATTTAGTTGAATGAAACAATAGAAAATCAATGAAATATCATTCTCAAAAACCAACTATACTCTCGTGTTGTTTTTCTTTTTTGTTTTTTTCTTGTTTTTTTTTGTTTTTGATTCCTTATTTAAACTTAGTAACAAAAACAAGTCATAATATATAGTACAAATATAAATCTTTTTAACATTTATGATTAGCCTTCTTCTCTTTTCAAAGAAAAGGAATATAATATAATGAATTATATACATATAACCCCTTCTGACACAATGGATTTCTTATTATCACTAATACAACTTAATCTAAATAGTTTGCTTTTCTATGTTATAATGAAATCTTTATAGTTTATATTGAATGTGATATATTAGTGTTTGTATTGTTTCTTTTAACATAATCCTACAAAAATGTAGATAGGATTAAAACAAAGAGATTTATTTATCATGGACTTAAGCTTAGTGACTAGATGGTATATCTTTTATTCATATGTATATGTATATACAATGGTACATTTGAATCGGTCAGCTTTTTAAAGCGATACATATATAGATATACATACATTTATCTTTGGGTGAATATTCTCAACTGATGAAGAATTAGTTTTGTGTGAATAAATTCATTTAAAAAAAAAAGAAGCAAAGTAAAGAATAAAAGAAAGAAAGAAAGAAAGCAAAGAACAATATCCCTTATTCATACGTACTTTTTCACACACACACACACTCACAAAAGAAAAAAAAGAAAAAAAGAAAAGAAACCATTTCCCAAGATCAAACTAAAATGATCAGAATAATTTTCTTCTCTAATTAGTTTAAAAAAGAAAGAAAATTATAAAAGAAGAATATAAAAGAGAAAAAAAACAGAGCAAGATATAGAAATAGAGAAAATGATTAAAAATAAAGAAAAAAGAATTTTTTTAATGTAAAGTTATTTGATCATAGAAAATCAAAAAAAAAAAGAAAGAATGAATGGATGAATGGCTGAATCTATTTTTTACGATAGGATGATGATATTTAAAGGTAACTCATTTATTTTGAAAAAGCTTAAATATTCTGGATTTAATCCTTGATAAATTTATTGGTGAATACTAATGAGATGTTGCATATATTAGATAGAAACATTTGTTCTATGGATTATGGTTTATGCCCACAAATGCCCTGGTACGGCCGAGAGTGGGGAGAGTCTGCTCTCCCTCTCCAAATGCTCTCACATGGCCACGAGTATATAGCTTCTGACAGGGAAGACCTACTCACTAGCTTCTCGTGGCATTACTGTTGTTTACGAAATTGAGAGGACGAAAAGCGAATTTCCGGCACCGGCTCTAACCGGATCCCAAACCAATGGTGCACATGGGCTGGCTCCAGTATCCTGCGGGAACAAATGGCGTATGAACCAATCGTTGGTCACCGGCTACCATGGAACTGCATCTCCTTACGATGCTCCACTGCCTTGTGGGTCAGACCTTTAGGTCAAAGGCTCGGGGTGTGGCCCCTTAAGAAAACCATCAGCTTCGGTTTGGGCACCCGGGCAGTATCACAGCCCTGACACATATCAAATGAGATCTGTGTGGCGCATATGTATTTGGTGCCTCCTTGTACCAATATCTATGTGTTAAAATAAATAAATAAAATAATTATGGTTTATAATAGGTCGGTTATTATTCAAACATTAGTAAACATTAATACAAGGAGTTACTAAATAGATATGCGCAACATGAGTCATTCAATTTGTGTGAGGGATTGGGATACTGCCTGGATGTACAAACCGAAGGAGGTGGTTTTCTTAGGGCGCCACACCTGGAGCCTTTGACCTAGAGGTTCGATCCAAAAAGCAGTGGAGTAACGGTAGGGGATGCTAGCCGGTAAC